TCTAACTCCTTCCACGAAGTGTTGGCTTCACACAAAGGATCCTACTTCTATTCAACAAAAATTCATGTTCCCTCATTTCATATAGCCCTTGAGAGTGACTTCCTTCCCTTCCTTATCAAAATTGAGGGTCATCTCCTTAAAATTCGTCTTGATCTCCCCCAACCCTGTCAACAAATCTAAGCACCGAATAACCTTAACCCCTCTAAGATCAAATAGATGCAAATCTTGGTTGATACATTGACCTTGTGGAATGCATTAAAATCTCCTCCCTTATGCTATCATAATGATCGTTTAGCCATACTCCCCTGAGCAACTCTTCATCTTTGTACCTAAGGAGACTAATGACACGTTCAAAGGCCACATGATATTCTACCATGCACCCTTCCGGATGCAATGTTTGGAGCGTCCGGTATGGTTATCCTCCATTTTCGGTTGAAAGCGCCTGAGGATCTCAGAACCAAAAAGAGCCCAAGTGGCATTTCTGGTTTTGATCTTCCACCGTTGATTCTAATTCAATGGCTCACTTTCTAATGCCAATAGCACTGCCAACCACTTCTCTTCTTCGACCATGCCTTTCACCACAAAATAGCGTTCCACTTTATTCAACCAGTTGTATGCATCCTTGCCAAAAAATACCAACATCTCAAACTTCCTTGCTTGTGGTTCCATATGGACAAGTTCCCCTTCATTTCCTCCATCAAACTCCTCCAAATCACCTTTTTCTTCAAGTAACTTGTTCTCTACAAGTCTTGTTCCTTGGAGGTCCCTTCATCATGTTCTGCAACACTTCATCTAGCCTATGGAGGATTTCCATCTACCCTTCCTCTGTGCACCGTACTCTCTCAGCCAACTCCTCAAATCTCGTCTCCATGCTTCGGGTCACCATCATTCAAAGGCCCCTAGATCGAAGAGTTGTGATATTAATTGTTAAGTATCAGAGTCAAGAAGAAGGAAAACGAAGGAACCTTTATTAATAAGATTAATCCACAACTTGGATTCAGTCATAACAGTACTTTCGTATTTTCCAATGAAAGAAAATCAGAGAGTAAGAAACAAAAGCTAGTACAGATGTGGAGTAAAAAGAAAAAACTGGTTCAGACACTAAAAAAATCACTTCCTATTAACCTCGACTAGCGAGGGTGTGCTGAGGGAAATTATTATATAAAACCTTACCCTTGCATATTTTCCTAAAAGTTCTCCAAGCTCGCCTTCTTACTGGTTCGAACACTAATGATAAAAAAAGTAGAAAATTGACTAGAACAATTATATAAACCTAGCACAATGATTCCAATTCTCCAAGATGCCTCCAAGTGATCTTGCACTTGCTAATAGTTACCAGCCTTGTGTGATGCCATCAGTGTGACTCTTACTACTAGATTTCCTTCTAACCAATTGATGTTGACTCAACAATTGTAGGTGGAAGTTGTAATCCTCCACTTCAATTCCTTTCATACACCCTTCCAAATTTGTTTCTTAGTCCATCCGTATCAGCTTCCTATGATAAACTTGAGTTACTAACAACTTCCTAACAATACTCCCCCAAAATCTAAACCTTATTGTCAAGGTGAAAAGAAGGGCAATGCTCCTTAGTGGTGGAAATTGACTCTCACGAATTCTCCAAGTCAGGGAGACTTTGCCATATGATTAGCACTTCAAGCAAAATCGTAGGAGTTATACGAAAATTTAGCACAATCTCGAGTTGTACTTGCAATTCCAAGTCCTCCGAAAGCATTGGAGGAATATCTTAATATTCAGTTGAGGTTGTTATAGACTTTTTAAGCAAAGAAACATGAAAAGTAGGATGTATGTGACAAGCAAGGGCAATTCCAACTTATAGCCAGTTTATCCCACCCTTTCAAGAACCTTGTAAAGGCCATAGAATCGCGGGATTAGCTTTCCATTCACTCTTTTGGCTAGGAATTTGAGGCAATAAGGCTGAATTTTGAGGAAAACCAAGCCTTAAAGTTCAAACTCCAATTCTCTTATGTGTTGATCAGCTTGAATTGTCACAAAGTCCGAAGGTTGGCAGATAATTTCTGTAAGTTCACATAGAATTTTGTCTCTCTCTAACAAAAGCTCATTTACTTCATCCACATTAGATGGCATGTAGCCACCCTTGAACAATGCACAGGGTCTCTTCCATAAAGAGCCTTGAAAGGAGTCATTTGTGTGGCTCCATGATAATTGATGTTTGTTGAATAACAAGAAAACGAAAGGCATATGATATAATCAATGTTTCACTTACACAACAGAGGCTTTATTATGTACTAAATAAAATAATTACATCATAAACGGTCACCAATGTGGGATTCTAACAATTACACTATTATTATTGTATTTACAAATTCTCGCAACACTCCCCCTCAACCTCGAGCATAAAATCATATGCACCAAACTTGTTACACATGTAACTATTCGAAGACCTTTCAAAGACTTAGTAAAGGCATCCTCCCTTTGTTCATTTGAGTTAACGAAATAAGTGATGATCTCTCCTAAGAGAACATTTTCTCTAATGAAATGACAATCTATTTCAATGTACATAATCCTTTTATGAAACAATGGATTGGAAGCAATATGCAAAGCAACTTGATTATTACAAATGAGTGTTGCAAGTTCAGTTTGGATAAACTGAAGTTCTTTAAGCAATTGTTTTAGCCAGATAAGTTCACAAGTAGTTGTGGCCATGGAATGATACTCTGCTTTAGCACATGACCTAGAAACCTCATTATGTTTCTCACTTTTCTCCAAAACTAGGTTATCTCAAACAAATACACAATACCTAAATGTGAATCTCCTATAAGTGGGGCAATTTTCCCAATCAACATCTAAGTATCCAACAACCCAATTATGACCTTTGTCCGCATAAAGGAGACCTTTTCTTGGGAAAAATTTATGTAATTAAGAATGTGAATTTGTCAGGAAGCAACTATTCCAAAAGCTTAACCTGAAGGCAAATGAATGGTTTTATATTTATATTATATTTGTAACATGTCGCTTCATACAAGAGCCCATTAGGCTTGAAAAGTGGACCTACCTGCGCTAAGAAATTCCACAATATTTATTAGAAGAACGAGAAGCGGCAAGGATCGAATTCTGAACCATTTGTTCACAGTGGCTTTCATACCATGTGATGAAAAGTGGGGAAAAAAAATTTATTGGATTGATTGTTCCTAACGGGGGAGGTTACAATACATACACACAAAACTAAAAAGAAAAAGAAGACTAGTTAATTACATGAATTTACCCTAATCAATCAAAAAGATCATAATTGATTCTTAAGAATAAAAGGGCTAATATATTTCCTAAAATACATAGACATCTAAAGATATTCCACACTCCCCCTCAAGGTGGGATGTATATGTTGATTATTCCCAACTTGCAAATCAAATCTTCAAAGGCTAGTTTGTTTAGGCTTTCAGTGAAACTGTCTGTTGTCTGCTCCTTGGTAGGAATATATGTTATACACGTACTTCTATCATCCAATTTTTCCGTTATGAAGTGGCGATCAATTTCCACATATTTTGTTCTATCATGATGAATAGGGTTCTAAGCAATGGTAATAGCTGCTTATTATCACAATACAACCTTATTGGTTGGGAATATGAGACATTTAATTCATCAAGATGTCTTCTTAACCAGATCCTTCACAAAGTCCATGAGCTAGAGCTCGGAACTCTGCTTGGGCACTACTTGCAACCAAGTCCCCTCATAATAGGATGTTTTGTCTTTTTTGCTGACCCGGCTACCAGTATTGTACTTATGCTTAAATTCAACTTTGCATCAAAAGAATGGGGTTGGCAATGATTAAACTCTAGACCACTTGGTCATAGAGGCTCTAATATTATGTCATGAACCAACTATTCCAGAAGCTTAAGTTGTTAAATGAAGACACGTAAGTGATTTTATATTTCATCTCTAACAAACCCTAAAGATAGTTATTCTCATTAACTAGCAAAGGAAACAACCATGAACTTTGACAAGGAACTTCAGATCCCACAATATTGTGTCTTTTTTTTTTTGTTGAAATTGATGTACATGTTATTTCAATGGTGTTTCATATTTAAATCTCGTCAGAGATTGATTCCTTATAAGGGTAACTATTGTATTCTCGAATTCATACTGGAAATAAGAAATAGCACTTTTGATGCAGATCTTTGAATGGCTTGTTATCACATAAAACTAACACTCCTAATAAATTCCAAAATATCTTTTAGACTACAAAATAAAATAGTACTATTTGACTGGCTGCTACTATAATTACTGAATACTATTTTCTTCAACAACTCCCTTTGGAAGAGATAGAACTGTTGTTTTGAAAACTATACAGGACTGGCTAGTCTGACTAGTTTAACCATCAGTTGGTCCTATGATCAGTCCAGTCTGGACAAGACTGTAAAACCAGGAGGCCATGAACAGGTGTTATAACCATTAAACCCGTGTAAAACTAGTTAAATCAGTCGCCGTTCAATGGTAGAGCCGGTTTATACATTTGTCATAAAATGTAATGAAGGTGAGAGATGGGACTGGACCCCAGTCTCTGGCCTGGAGAAGCAATGCTCAACTATTAGGTCATTGGTGCTGATGGTTGTATGAATTAGAACATATGTTATCATATATTTTATTTCCATAATTTTTACATGATAATGATCTAGTTTTAAATAAATATAAAAGTAGCATAAAATTTTTAAATTTCAAAATTAACATAACTGAAAATTTATTAATATTAAAAACAAAATAATTTTAACATATATTAAAAATTAATTCCAGTTCGACTACAATTCAAAAATGGTTGAACCACTAAACCATGAATCAGTCCATTTAACCATTCATTACGGGTCTGGTTTCAGAACCTTGGATAGAACTTGTAAGCTTTGACTTTTACTATTCCTTCTAGAATGGCTTATTGTTCCAAAACAGTCATCAGTAATGCTGCTAAAACTAATGATAAACAAGGGTGAAATATAAAACAAAATATAAAAAATAGTAGAGAATTCTCTCACCTGATTAGACAATGGTATCTGTCTTGACACATCCCAGACAATAATAGAATTCTCACTGAGATTGCTCCCAGATACATCACTAGAAGAAATGAACTGCTTCCCATTTGTTGTAAACTCAACATCCAGAATAGGACCTAAATTCCGATTATAGTTATGCACAACTTTGCCAGTTCTGATATCCCACAATTTGATACGGCCCTTTGATCCCCCAGAAAGGAAGAGATTTGAATTGTCTGGATGGAACTTTATAACTCCAACAATTTGTTCTTCTCTGAGAACCTGAGTCTCCAATCCCTTTTCAACATCAACCAACCTTGATGTGCAATCATATCCACAAGAAAGCAGAAAGAGCCCTTGCTGAGACCATTTCACATCTTTCACTGCTGCATTATGGAAGTTTAGCACACATGCTTTCTTCTGATCTCTGCTCCATACATTCCATATGGAAACCATATGATCCATCCCAGCAGATGCAAGGAGGTGAGCTGTAAGCTAACTCTAATGAACAGATAAATACTAGTAATATATATAACAAGCATATCTCTCTTGATCTCTCTCTTCCTCCATGTATGTGTGTAACAAAACTTTTCAATACTTTGATTTTAAAATTATTCTAGCTGTGAATAGGCACATGCTTTAAACATTAAAACATAATACAATACTTCCATCACTAAGAAACAGTTTAAGAAAATTATTCCTTACTAAAAGTATATTGCATATCATTCCAGGGAAAAAGTTTGTCAACAAAGAAAATGATGCAACCCAGCCCAACCAACCCAAGCCCAGTCAGGTGTACAAGAGAGACAGGAATAGAAGGGTATGGATTACAAATGAAGATGCAGATCAAGGCCCAATCAACAAAGGCCCTGCTGCTCCTGATGCTGACTCAGCCACTCCGTTGCATGCTGCCCCTGATGCTGACTCATCCATTCTGTTGCAACCGAAAGAGGGAACGCAATAGGACGTGCGTGGGGAGGATAAAGGGAGGCTGCTGATGTGAGAGAAGATTTATCTAGAACCTGGACCTTAGGAGAGAGTGGAGCCTCTCAACTGCTTCACAATTATCCCTTACTTTTCTGCTTGTAATTTCCATTTCAGTATTTCCATTTGGTTAATTGTAATGACGGAGCTTAATTGTACGACTCTGTAATTTTCCCTGTTATTTGGTTGGTTGTAGAACTTGGTGAATTGATCATCGTAATCTTGTTTCTGATCCATTCATATTCAGTTTAGTCATTTTTGGTGTCATTGTTATATGATCTTAGTGTGATAGTGAATTGGTCTGTATCAAACTGGTATCAGAGCTCCGATCTAGGAGCTCTGTGGAATGGTTGTCACTAGAAACATGGAAAACCGTGTAGAAGCAATGGAGGAGAGGCTGCGCAGGACAGAAGCTCAGAATGTTGAAATACTAAGGAGGATGGAAAATAGCGAGACCGGAGTGGTAGAAATCCTTCGTAGACTGGATGATTTGGCGAGACCCAGGAGGAACGGCTCTCACGAAGAGGACGACGGTTCTAACAGGGAGACAAATGGACCGCAAGGACGGAGGTTTAATCCGGTGAATTCCATGACCAGGCGTTTAGAAATACCCTTGTTCCATGGAGGGGACGCGTATGGGTGGATAAACAAGGTTAAGAGGTATTTCCATGTCAATGGGTTAGCTGATGAAGACAAGGTAGCTGCAGTAATGGTGACATTGGAAGGGGAAGCCTTACAATGGTACCTGTGGTGGGAAATCAACAACCCCAACGCGAGTTGGGAGGTCTTCCGGCGAGAGGTCTTGAGCAGGTTCCAACCTGAAGCTCTCGACAACCCATACAGAGCTCTGTACTCATTAAAACAGATGGGGACGATGGCGGAGTTCAGATGTGAGTTTGAGAAGGTTATTGGTGCGTTGCGTTTCGAGGATGAGGAGCTTCTGAAGGGGGCATGGCTTAATGGAGTCCGATGTAGCGTTCGTGAAGAACTAATGATGACTCCCCACATCAGCTTATCGGAGATGATGAAGTATTCTCTGAAGATAGAGAAGAGGAACAACGCGTTGAGGGACGAAGGCTTGGGAACAGGGGGAAGAGTTGGGCCAGCGGGGCTAGGGAAGGGAACTCAGGCCCAGAGAAATTGGGCTGGCCAATATACCACTAAGGGGGGCTGGAGTGGGCCAGGTTCCTTTAACCCGTCCAACCCGGGTCGGGTCGCGGGTCAAACCCACTCAAATAATACCAATCAACCAATTAGGGTTCCCATCGAAGAGCAAACCCAAATGGCGGCCACGAAGGGGTCACCTAGTACCGTCAACGCGCACGGGGATGCCGGAATCGCGTCGGACAGTAACGCGAGTAGCAATCGACGTCTCTCACCGGCGGAAGTCAGGGAGCGCCAGGCCAAGGGGCTATGTTTCACTTGTAACGGACGATGGAACCCACAGCATAAGTGCCCGTTCAAGCATCTCCAGGTGATGATTGTTGAAGATGAGCACGACGTGGACGGACGGGAGGTGGAGGCTGAGGTCCCTGCTCACGAAGGAGAAGACCAGCCTAAGGAAGATGACGTGACAGCCGTGCATCTCTCCATGCACTGTTTACTAGGGCTCGCTTCAAACCAAACTCTTAAGGCGTGGGGTGACATTCAGGGATCAAAGGTTGTGGTGATGATCGATTGTGGCGCTTCGAGCAACTTCATAGGAAGAGGAGCGGCCATGAGGTTGGGGTTATGCATTACTGACACGCACTCGTACAACGTGGAAGTCGGTGACGGGCACAAAGTCTGCTGTCAAGGTGTGTGTAAGGCGGTCAGCCTTTTGCTTCAAGGTACGTTGATCGTCCAAGACCTATACATCTTTGATTTGGGGAGTACCGATGTGGTGCTGGGACTCGAATGGTTGACTCAGCTAGGTGAGATCAAGGCCAATTTCAAGGACCTCACTCTAAGGTTTATGAGTCAGGGCCGCGAGGTTACCATCAGAGGGGATCCCTCACTGTTTCGTTCAGAAGCTTCCCTTAAATCGGTGGTAAAGGCCTTGCATGATCAGGGTCAAGGATTTTTCCTAAGGTCAGAAGAGGAAGGGGATACAGAGAGTGACACTACGTGGGCAGAATTGGACGGGTTGCTGGTGGAGTTTGAGGATGTATTCCAAAAGCTCACTGGGTTACCACCGATGAGGCAGCAAGACCATGCCATCAACCTAAAGCCAGGAAGTGTGGCACCTAACATACGCCCGTACAGGTACCCCCACTATCAGAAATCTGAAATAGAAAGCTTGGTTGCTGAATTGCTAGGGGACGGGTTGATTAAACCCAGCACCAGCCCCTATTCTAGTCCGATGATCCTTGTTAAGAAGAAGGACGGCAGCTGGAGGGTCTGTGTTGACTACAGGGCCCTCAACCAGTTGATCATTCGGGATAAATTCCCAATTCCAATTGTTGATGAATTGCTGGATGAGCTAGGAGGCTCAGTGGTTTTTTCTAAACTTGACTTGAAGTCTGGGTTCCACCAGATCAGGATGCGCGAAGAAGATATACCCAAGACAGCTTTTCGAACGCATCAAGGGCATTACGAATACCTAGTAATGCCCTTTGGTTTGACAAATGCCCCGTCGTCGTTTCAAGCTCTTATGAATGATGTTCTACGGCCCTTTTTGAGGAAGTTTGCACTAGTGTTCTTCGACGACATCATGGTTTACAGCAAAAGCAGAAGGGAACATTTGGAACATTTGCGGTTGATATTCGAGGCTTTGCGGTCTAACTCTCTGGTGTGTAATAGGAAGAAGTGCAGCTTCGGTAAGGATCACATGGAGTATTTGGGGCACATTATAACAGCTCAAGGGGTTAGTGCCGACCCTAGTAAGGTACAAGCCATGAGGCAGTGGCCAGCACCCAAAAACATCAAGGGTTTGCGTGGGTTTTTGGGTCTCACAGGGTACTATCGGAGGTTTGTACAAGACTATGGGAAGATTGCAAAGCCACTTACGGAGCTGCTTAAGAAGGATGCTTTCGTTTGGACCGAAGAAGCAGAGAGGACCTTCGAGTTGTTAAAAGAGAAAATGAGTACGGTTCCGGTCTTAGCCTTGCCTGACTTTACCAAGCTATTTACCGTGGTGACAGATGCCTCAGGGAAGGGGATAGGGGCTGTGTTGATGTAAGATAACAGGCCTATCGCATTTTTAAGTCAAGGTTTCTCTCCACGAGCACAAGGAAAATCAGTGTATGAAAAGGAGCTCATGGCTATAGTCTTTGCTGTCCAAAAATGGAAGCACTATTTGATGGGAAGGCATTTTGTCATCAAGTCTGATCAAAAAAGCTTGAAGTTTTTGACGGATCAAGCAGTACTCAATGAGGAACAACAGAAATGGGCTGTGAAGTTGCTTGGCTTTGACTTCGACATACAATATTATCCTGGCAAGGAAAATCTGGTTGCTGATGCACTCTCTAGGCAAATGCAATTAGCCAGTATCACCAGGTTACAACTCCTAGCACTGGATGACTTGGAGATGGAGCTGCATGATGACAGTAAGCTCAGGGGCATTATCCAAGCTTTGTTAATCAATAAGGACGCTCATCCAGGCTTCCAGCTGAGGGAAGGCAAGCTGTATTACAATGGCAGGTTAGTATTGCCTAAGAATTCCAAGTTTATTCCTGTCCTCCTCCATGAATTCCATGACTCCAACTTTGGAGGACATTCTGGGTACTTTAGAACCTAAAAGAGGCTGGCTGGCCTTGTATATTGGGAGGGTATGAAACGAACAGTTAAGGAGTATGTGACAGCTTGTATAATTTGCCAACAAAATAAAGCCCAAAACCTGACCCCAGCTGGGCTGTTGCAACCGTTGCCCATTCCCGAGAAAGTGTGGAATGATATCTCTATGGATTTCATTGGGGGGTTACCCAAAGCTATGGGGTTTGATACTATCTTGGTAGTTGTAGATCGTCTCACTAAATATGCCCACTTTTTACCTCTAAAACACCCCTATACAGCAAGGGACGTTGCTGATTTGTTTGTAAGAGAGGTGGTACGGCTTCATGGGTTCCCAGCCACTATTGTCTCCAATAGAGATAGAGTCTTTATGAGTTCCTTTTGGACTGATTTGTTCAAAAGTGCAGGCACCAAATTGCACTATAGCACTGCCTACCATCCCCAAACCAATGGTCAAACGGAGGTAGTCAACAGGTGTTTGGAGGTCTATTTGAGATGTTTCTGTGGGCCTAAGCCCAGACAATGGCCCAAGTGGCTTCCTTGGGCTGAATTCTGGTACAACACCACCTACAAGGAGGCTATGGGCATGACTCCGTTCAAAGCTCTCTATGGCAGGGACCCTCCTCAATTGTTGAAGGGTGAGACTTATGCGTCTACAGTGGATGCCCTTTCTAGTTCCCTGCTAGCAAGAGACAACATTCTGCTTGAACTACAACAAAATTTGGTGCAAGCCCAGAACCGTATGACTGTGCATGCTAACCAGCATAGGAGAGATGTGCAGTTTATCCCTGGTGATTTGGTTTACCTGCGACTTCAGCCTTATAGGCTCAAAACTATTGCTCGGCGGGTTAATGAAAAATTAAGTCCCAGATATTATGGACCCTTTTTGGTGTTGGAAAAAATTGGGGAAGCAGACTATAAGCTCCAACTACCACACGGCTGTCTAGTCCACCCTGTTTTTCATGTTTCCATGCTTAAGAAGGCGGTGGCACCTGTGCCAACTGCTCAACCTTTACCAGCAGCCCTGTCCGATGATTGGGAATTGGTTGTGGAACCGGAAAGATTAATCCAATGGCGATTATCCAAGGCTGGGGAATTACAAGTTCTTCTCAAATGGCAGCACCTACCTGAGTTCGAAAATTCATGGGAGTCTTTTGCTGTCATCAACCAGAAATTCCCCCACTTCCACCTTGAGGACAAGGTGCTTGAATTGGGGGGAGTATTGATGCAACCCAGCCCAACCAACCCAAGCCCAGTCAGGTGTACAAGAGAGACAGGAATAGAAGGGTATGGATTACAAATGAAGATGCAGATCAAGGCCCAATCAACAAAGGCCCTGCTGCTCCTGATGCTGACTCAGCCACTCCGTTGCATGCTGCCCCTGATGCTGACTCATCCATTCTGTTGCAACCGAAAGAGGGAACGCAATAGGACGTGCGTGGGGAGGATAAAGGGAGGCTGCTGATGTGAGAGAAGATTTATCTAGAACCTGAATTGAGAACTTGGACCTTAGGAGAGAGTGGAGCCTCTCCAACTGCTTCACAATTATCCCTTACTTTTCTGCTTGTAATTTCCATTTCACTATTTCCATTTGGTTAATTGTAATGACGAAGCTTAATCGTACGGCTCTGTAATTTTCCACGTTATTTGGTTGGTTGTAGAACTTGGTGAATTGATCATCGTAATCTTGTTTCTGATCCATTCATATTCAGTTTAGTCATTTTTGGTGTCATTGTTATATGATATTAGTGTGATAGTGAATTGGTCTGTATCAGAAAACTTACCGTGACTTGATGACCAATGTATAGCATTAACAGCTTTTGTATGCCCATATAGAGACGCAGATAGCTTTTCAGGTATTGAGTTGAGGTTTTGATGACCCTGTGCCTTATTTTTCAACAACGATAAAATGCTACGGGGTATGTCAGCATCTGAGATACTCCCTAAGTTTATGAACAAGAAAATGGTCAGAATTGTTGTCTCTACCAATGATTAGAAGTTAAATATAAAAGCAAAGGAATAGAGATAAGCATTAAAACATCCAGCATATCTATTTCTGAAGAAACTACCAACAAGAAAAGGTCTATGTGAGAGGAAATAAAGAAATTGTAAATTATACAAGCTCATCACTCAGCCAGACTCAGATTATATGATACTTAAATGCTAATGCTGTATGCTTCAAAATTAAAATGCTACTTTTCTATTGACTTTCCTCACTAAATAGAAATGGAGGTCCTTAAGTTGGGAAATAGACCTCGAACTAAGATGATAACTATGCCAAAGAAAACTATATTTGAGGCTAGGTGTCTTATAGTCTCTTTACTACAAACTACCCTGTTCTCTATTTATTCAATTCTACCTCCACTAAATCAACATCAACATCAGCATCACATTTAACCCAAACTAGTTGCGGTCAACAAATACCCCCATTAAATACTAAGTAGAAAAAATTGATTGAGAATTATATAGATGAATGCAGATAAAAATCATGAAAAAGATAGAATGAGTGTTTAAAACTCTAAGTTTTACCTGTCTCTTTCAGAAAAGATCATTTTAATACCCATACTCTCTTAAGTATCCATGACACAACTAAGCTCTACATCTCTTTTTCTTCATCCTTATAGTAGGTACTGATCCTTAATTTACCTAAATGTAATTAGAGAAAAAATACATCACCAATCCCTCATATTACTTTAGACCATGATATATCCACCGGAAGGCATGTCGTATTCTACTCTCCCTAGCCCTTTATGTCTCACACTCTCACTCTCTTAATGACTGCAAAGTTGTCAAAGAGACTTAGTCCAGTACATATATCATGTGGTATCATATACTCAGTAAATATATCTCTGTAACACAGGATAGCAGTAACAAGAAAAATTAAGAGGTAACAGATGAAGTTCATGATCTTAAATGCTGCTATATAACAAATACATGGAGCATCAATTTCATTTCTAAAGTTAATTTAAAACCAAAATATATTTCTCTTGAATTTAATGTTGATGCAATGTCATTACTAAAAAAAAAAAAAAAAAAAAAGTTTTACACTATTGATGTGTTGAAATGTTACTTAATAATAGTGTCATCTCATGTAATTGTTAACACTGTAGAACTCATTAAAACGCTGTCAAAGAAAAAAAAAATTAGATGATAGTGTCTACAACGATTAAGCATCAAAATTAAACTCTAATCCTTCTGAAGTCAAAAAAAAAAGAAACTCAATCTATAATCACAAATAAAAAATTGAACAGACATGAAAATAAAAACTTTAATGATAAAATAAAAATTGAAGATAGTAAATTATGAGAAACAAGTGAGAGGGTAATGAGTACCGGTTAGTGTGAAGGAAGATGGAAGGGGATTAGGGTCAGGAAGAGAGGTGGGCTTGGGACCCAATGACGCGCGTTGTCGTTTGGAAACGTAACTTCCAGGAATGGGAGCTTGTGTTTGGAAGTTGAAAAGAGAAGAAGAAGGAGAAGAAAGATGGGGTTTTGGTGGGTTTGAGGAAGAGATTGATAATCTCTGTCGTTTCGGTTGTTCTCCTTTGTCGTCGTCGTCGTCGTCTGAGGTATTGGAGTATGCGTCGCAGAGAAGATCCATGCTGCTCCCAGCTTCTTCTTCCTTCTAGAGAGCTCGGACTATAGTACACAAAAACTAACTTATGGGAAAAAAAGAGGACTTTCTTTTCCTTGTTAATTAATTAATAATCAATTTGGCCCTCCCTGAGAATTATTCATTATCCTGCTCTCATTTAGTTGATCAAGTTGCACTTTTAATCGACTAAATGGGCAAAATATAATAATCAAAAAACACGAATTTTAGTCGACTAAATATTCACCTTGATCGACTACATGTCGAGCACATTTAGTCGACTAAGGCCATTATTTAGTCGACTAAATATCGCGGATCAGGTTTTTCAAAACCCCCCATTTCGCAAAGGGGGTTATTTTCAAACCCTAGTCGACTAATTTCGCTCCAAGAACCCCTCTCTTCAACCAAGTCCGAATCTCATCCCTTGAAGGTCCGATTGAAGCATCATTGGTTCACAACTTGCGAAATTGACATTGTAGGTAACGTTTTCTGACTTGCATTTGGTTTTAGGTTTAGGTTTTTTTTTGTTTTCTCCATGCTTTAGTTTCTGTTTTTTTAAATTTCTTGTTTATGGTAGAAGGTTGTTTGCGGTTTTGTGGCTTTAGGTTAGGGGTAGGGTGTTGAGTTTGATGTGAGGGTAATTGACTAGGGTTGATGTGGTAGCTTAGGGTTAGGGTTAGGGTTAGGGTTTAGGGTTAGGGTTAGGGCTGCTGTTTTGTTTGGGTGTAGGGTTAGGGTTCCTGTTTTTATGTTAGGGTATAGGATTTTTTTTCCTGTGATGGGTTAGGGTTAGGGTTGCTGTTTTAGGTTGGGTTTAGGGTTAGGGTTTCTGTTTTTATGTTATGGTTAGGGTTAGGGTTAGGGTTGAGGGTTTGGGTTTGGGTTGCTGTTTTTGATTGGGTTTAGGGTTTACGTTCCTGTTTTTATGGTAGGGTATAGGTATAGGGTTTGTTTTATGTTTTATTTTAGGGTTAGGGTTTAGTTTTTTATATTGAATTTTAAAATTTTTTGATATTGTTATTGTCCATTGATATTGTTTCCACTTGCATTGTAGGTACCGTTGTTCCCATGGCTGGGCGTAGAAGATCGGATAACGTGGGAAATGATAGACATAAGAAGCTACGACAAGACCGTCCGTCTTCGTCAAGGCCACAAGATGAAGAGCCCACTCATGTCGACCTCCCATTCGGATACTTGTTCGAGCATGACCCCGTGCTTCATGATTCATTTGTTCGTGACTTTGCTAACCGACCCATTTGTGGGGCCAAATCACTTGATACAACATTTTTTGAAGCATAAGGTTTTAACATTGTGAAGTGGTTGGAGGGAGCACATCTTAGGGTTTTGGTTGAACTGTCGTGTTCATATTCGAGGGTCTGCGGGGTGGAGATCTTCATGACGGCTCCGGTATAGGAAATGACAATGATTTCACAATTACTATGCTTTAGAGATGGTGGGATGAAATGGAAGGGTGATTGGAAGGATCACAGTTGACAAACAAGAGAAAAAGGGGTTTTGATTTCGAAAATATTGCAAATGAGACCGAGAGAGGTATGGATATAGGGGTTTTTGCGATATTTAGTCGACTAAATAATGGCCTTAGTCGACTAAAGGTGCTCGACATGTAGTCGATCAAGGAGAGTATTTAGTCGACTAAAATTCGTGTTTCTTGATTACTGTATTTTGCCCATTTAATCGATTAAAATTGCAACTTGATCGACTAAATGGGGGCATGATGGTGGATAGTTCTGGGATGGACAAATTGGTTATTAATTAATTAATGAGGAGCAAAAGGGTCAAAAAGTCAAAAAATGAGGGCTTTTCTTTTCTCTTCCTTCTATCTTAAATAAGTTTTCACAAAAATTCTTATAATAAAAAGAATTCTTTTCTATAACAAAAAAAAATCAAAACTCAAAAGTTTCGAATTTTTTTTTTTTTTGAATTATATCAATTTTTTTAATGTATATTTTATTTTAAATAATCAGTTTTTAAATTAAAAAATTTATATAATTATCAAATAACTTATAACTTTATTTTTAAAGCGTTTATTTTTATTTTTATTTCAAAAGTAACTTTTAACTTTAAAAAAGAAAAATCTAAACATTGGGTAAACATCGACTCTTATTGTCTTACCATATATACTTGAATTAAAATTAACAATGAGTTATTTATTTTATTTTGAATCAACTGCAATAAAATAATAGTAAGAGGTGGTAAAAAAAATAAAAAAAGATTCCTGTAATTTATCATAAATAATAATAATAATAAGAGAATGGTTAAATTTACAAACTAAATTATTAATAAACTCTTATAATCAAATTTTAATAGTTGATTTTCGTCAATTTAATGATTATAATTTATTAAAAATTAATAATTAATTAATAATTATGACCCAATAAACTATGGGATATGTTATTCTGCCTACTCTTATTTTGCCTACCTTTGTCTACCTTTCTCAATACCGTTAGCTTACAATCTCATCCAATGGTGGAGAGTTGCGGAATAAAATAAACTTTTTTTCCCCTTTCTTTCTCCTCACTGCCTCCCACACTCTTTCTCTCTCCTCCCATTTCTCTCTGTCGATTTGAGTAATTTACAACCTGGATTTGTATTTGAATCTAAATATATGCAATGATTAATGGCATCATAGTTCTGCTGGATGAGTATAATTTTCAAAATTCCTTGAATCTAATATAATTGAACATGGCAGAAATCACAAAAATACAAAAAAACGAAAACCACGAATAATCTCTTCCTTTGAATTAATCCATGATTAACATAACGTTTCTACTTTGCTGTTGAAATTTAAAATCGATTTAACTTATCTCCTTCTTCTTATCTTGTTTTTCACTTTAAAGTGGGGAAATGATCTGTGTTCTCCCTATGTTACGCCTAATATGGCATCTGGATTTGTTTCTTCTTGACACCTCATTTCAATTTTGACACCCCATTTCAATTTTGTATGTAAATACTCATAAAAATGGCTGGGTTGGATGAAAAAGAAAATGAGTAAATACCATTTTTGGTCCCTAACAAAAAATACGGTCCCCATTTTAGTCTCTTACAAAAATAAATTAGTCAGTTAGTCCCTAACAAATTCAAAGTGAACCCATTTAGTTGAAATCGTGGTCCCTCACAAATTCAAAAAAACCCATATTAGTCCCTCAAAAGGACTAAAATGGGTCCACTTTGAATTTGTTAGGGACTAACTGACTAATTTATTTTTGTAAGGGACTAAAGTGGGGACCGTGTTTTTTGTTAAGGACCAAAAATGATGTTTACTCTAAAAAAAAAGGTTGCACCTTTTTTTGACGTTGAAGTGCCATTGAAGAGAGAGAAAGGTGAGGAGAGAGAAAGAGTGAAAGGCACTGAGAAAGAGAAAGGGGTAAAAGAGTTTATTTTATATCATAAATATCTACCATTGGATGATATTGTAATCTAACGGTGTTGAGAGGGATAGACAAAGGTAGGCAAAATATAAGTAGGCATAATAACCTATCCCATAAATTACAACCATTAAATTAACAAAAATCAACGACAAAAATTTAATTGTAAGAGTTTGTAAATAATTTAGTTTATAAATATAACCTTCCACTAATAATAATAATAACAAGGCTTTATAGGTTAAAATAACATTCTTAATTTTATCTTAAAAATGTTTTAAATTTAGTTTTGTAGGGATGGTTAATATATTTATAAACAAAAAGGTTTTTTAATCTCTTACAACCTTTTTGTAAATCATTGGATGAATTTTAAATCAATAATTGTCAATTATTTTCTCTCTTGTCAATCTCTCTCATCCTTCTCTCAATGTCTCAGAATCCATGAGAGAAAATAGAAAGTACATTTCGTACACAAAAGTGTTTTATGCATTATGATCTTAAACTTCTTAGTACAAAACTTCTCAGTACAAGAGTCATATACAAGACTCGAAATAACAAACTCCAAACTAACTAATGATAACTGAATCTAAAACTGTCTAACCTCCTGACCGGTGTTTAAAAACTCGGCCCGACCATCGACTCGGCCTAGTCAGAGGTTAAGGGGTCACTTCGCTGACCCGATTTTATATATTAAAAAAAATATAAATATATATTCTATACGAAAAATTCAAAAAAATCAAACCACCAATCATCAAAAATTCAAAATATATTTAACATAATTCAACCAATTACATGCACAAGTTAATATTCACAAGCTAATCAAAGTATTAAACTATCAAAGTATAAAGCACATATTCCAATGGAGTTAATGAAAAGTTATATCATCAAACTCAGGCCCTTCTTGTCCTTCTCATACACATACAACAATATGTGAAAAGAGATCCCTTACCCAATAGAGAATAGCGGAGGAGAGGTGGCGACACGACAAATTAACGGTGGGGAGAGAAGAATCAATGTGGTGGAGGAGATTACCGGAACAGGGAAATTGGGTTTGGTTCTAAGAGAGAAGATCGGAAGAGAAGAAAAAGAAGGATTCAGATTTTAGATCTAGTTCTAAATCTAGGCAACAATGAGTTTTTGGTTTTTGTTTTTTCTTTACACATAAAACGACGTCATTTCATGTATAATTTTTTTTTTATAAAAAAATGCAGTGACTCCTCTGACCCGGTAGTCACGAGTTCAACCGGGGGTTTCGGGGGTTAGAGGGGTCGACATGCAAGTAGAGTCTAACTACTAACCCGAACCCTCAGAGAGAGAGGTTAGTGACCCGGAGGAGTCGACCCCGGGGTGGGGCGGGATTTTAAAACACTGTTCCTAACAACTTAATGAACAAAATAAATTAAGAACCACGTGACAAATATCATAGAGCCTAAAATATCAGAAAGCCTATGGTCGTAACACCCTCCCTCAAGTTGGAAGGTGTACATCGAAGAGACCCAACTTGCTCATCAAAGTTTTAAATGGCCCAGTGACAAGGCTTTTGTGAATGGATCCACTAGCTGAAAGGTGGAGGAGATAGGAAGAAGATGAATTAAACTAGTTTGAATTCTTTCACGAATAAAATGATAATCTATCTCTATATGTTTTGTTCGCTCATGAAAAC